GGTATAACTTATATTTTCGAAAAATGTTACTCAGACTCTTATGATTCTAACCCCTTCATTTATTTCAAATCAGTTGCAAGCATTGTGAAAGTGTAGCTGCGTGCAAGTCAAATAGGCACAACGAAACAGACTAATTCACTAGGTACACATAGGCCACCTACACAGCAAACATCCATTGCAACGAATGTCCTGTTCAACATTGAGATCAAAGGCGAGTCAACACGCAAGAGCAGCGCTTACTTAGAGTCCTTTGGCAGTACCACCTCCCACATCAATGCCTAACTTTACAAAAAAACAAAAATGAAAATGCTTGCTGGCATTATCAAATTCAAACTCAAAAACATGACTTGCAATGCGATTCAACTAGTACAGCATATCAGCAACAACAATTAGTGGGCGTGCCTTCGCTTGCTGCTACATGTGTTGCCATGTAACTTCAGCCAACAGCCAACAATCAGTTGGTAGTTCAGATACTCGCACTTTGCAAACTTGTGTTTTGTTACCGAAATTGGACGTTTCGCTGAAATAGATGCTAACTGCTGGCAGCATTGGCCCAGTTGAGAATTTTGTGTTTCTGGCAGTTTACTACACACTATACTTACTCACCTACATAGCAGCAGGTATTTGCATTGACAGTGGCAAAAGATTCCAGTAGCTGCAAAGTGCGATTTGTACCAATGTCACTGGGGAAATTTGCGGTTGCAATGGCTGATATTACAAAGGGTTTGCGTAAAGCAAAAAAAGGAGTTGGTTATTGCTGCCTGCAGCGCAGTTGCTTGGCATTGATATGTGTTCATTAAAGCAACAGAAAGAAATTTGGTGATACAAGGCAATGTATGCTTGCGTTTCGCGTAAAGATACAGAAAGTTTGATGAGGTGTCTGAATATACAAAAAAGACCCGGTGAACTTTACCCCGAACAAGTATTATATAAACGAATGAATCACTTTGAATAACTCAATGAGAGTGGGGGCAAAGATGTTTGAATGTTATGCAGAGTCCGCAAGAAACTCTGAAATCATTGTGCGGAGATTCCGTCAGTCTAGGCGGAACATGCTTTGAAATACCATCAACTTATTACCTAAGAAAGAATTTTTTTTTATGGTGAGAAGTGCAAGTGCAGATATTTTATAAGGAATTCTATAGAGAAAATTTTTGCACATGCAGCAGTGCATAGCATGCATTTAGGCGCTTGGTGCTAACAGTCGCCTAAACACAGTTTTTAAATTCTGTTGCATTAAATTTCTTTTATTTGCACTAAATGTAAAGAGACTGAGGGAATCATGTGCCAAAACTAATCAATGTTTCGTGGTGGATTACGTCCTTCTTTTTCTTTTTTGGCGCCTAAATAAATAAAGGTGGGGGCTTTTCAACACGCGAATATGCCACACATATTCGAGATCAATTTCATATACGTCCAAAGAGTGGCCTTGCGCTTTAATTGTCGTCATGTCGTATGCAAGACTAACTGGAAACTGAATATGTTTGAACTCAAAGCGCTTTCTAATTCTTAAATTCGAACTTAATTATCGTTGCTTGAATAATATTGTAATTTAATTGAAATCGAATTTTAAACAAGGCGGCAACATTCCTAAAAATATTTTGAACCCCCCAACCTTCTCAAACCTCTTTCGTCTGACATCCATACAATTGTGGTACATATTAAATTACCTGATTCTCTTAATTCAAGTTGAATTAGTATTTTTGAACAGGTGGCAACCCTCCTACATGTAGTTTAGAAATCAAGCCATTTCAAAAAATGTCTATTAAATAGCTTATAAAATAATTTGAATTTAACTTTTTAAACAGGTGGCAACCTTTTCAAACAACTCAAAAATATTCTAAATGTTCAAACTGAAGATTCTTTCATACCCTTTGTTTTGACACCCATAGTTTATTAATCATATATTTTGTGTATAATTTAATTAAATTTGGGCATCACAATGGGCCTCTGCGGCCTCCGAGTGAACTCTTTTTCAGAGCTGCCCGTTTAACCTAACCTTAACCTAATTAAATTTCACTTCTCAGACAGGTGGCCCCCTAAAAAATACTTCCAAACAGAAACCTTCATAAATCTCTCTGATACATATTCAATTACTGAATCCCTTAATTCAAGTTAGATTTGACTGTTTAAACAGGTGGCAACTCTTCTACATTTGGTTTCAGAGTTAAGTTTTTTTTAACACTATTTCGGTTTATACTCATACTCACTTAGCTTATTAAATAATTTCAATTTGATTTTTTAAACAGGAGGCAACCTGCTTCAAATAACTCAAAAAACTCGAACTGTTTCAACTAAAGATTTTTGACCATTTTTCTCGTTACACATTTAAATTTCGTATGTTTAACTTGTGTATAATTTAATTAAATATGACTTTTCAAACAACTGGTAAAACTCTTTCAAAATATATTCAAAATACAACTTTATTGAACCTCCTTCGTCTGACATCTAATTGACTTTTGACTCCTGAAACAGGTGGCAACACTATTACATTTAGTGAAGTATTTTCCAAACTATTTCGATTGATACCCATTTTGTAATAATTAATTTAGATTACAAAATTATTTGAATTAAAATTTTTAAAGAGGTGGCAACCCTCTTCCAACACATCGAACAATTTTAAATTTCCGGAATGTGTCCCTAAAGTGAACGTGCATAGGAAAAATAAATAAAAAAACAAATAAACTACCTTAACATAATTTTACTCTTCACTTAACACGTTCTTTGACAACCATTTTTTGCTTCTCCTCTTCATCAGTTTCCTCTTCAAGGACGCTCATTGTCTTTGCTGTGCATTTTATTTTGCCAACATTTGTTATCTACTCAGAGCAGATTTTTCTTCCCGGAAGGCTAAAATTATTTGTTTTGTTTTTATTTCGCAAACTTTTCTAACTTTCTTCTCCCCAGTGCTGCTTTGTGGGCATTTTCATACTCATTAGGCTACTTGAGGGATTAGCCGCTGGTGTTAAAATGAGTTGAGTTGAATTATAGCCACTCGTACTTGTGTGGAAAGTATCTATGTAGTGCTTGTTGCTATGAGCTTATAGTAGAAACATTTTATAATAATAGATGATACTTTTATAAGTACGTAATCTGATTTTTTGCTTGTGTTGGCCCCATTTAGCTATATAAGCATGGCATTTAGTGTCATCTGGCACGTGTCAGGTTTTTCTGGCTTACTTGTTTTCCTTTTTTATTTTCCTATTATTTTCACTTTTTCGCTTTTTGCCCAGATTTTATGCTCTAGCTTTATGAGTTTGTTTACATAACTAGTTACTATTTAGTATAGCATGAGCTGCTTGAGCCGGCTACGTGAGTGTTCATTAAAAGTACTTGAAAAGTATTCAGTTAGTAAAAGTTGGGAAAGTTGAATAATCGCTTGCTTTTTTGTGTGTTTTTGGATAAAACCTTTTTGGATAAGCCATCTGGATATGTTGCTGATGGTTTAAAGTAGCCACGACATCCCCCAAAATATTTCGGAAAAATATTAAGATTTACGTAAGCTGGACCGATTTGAAATTACCTCCAAAAATCTCATTATTTTGATTCCGTTGATAAAGCTCTTCTATCGGACGATCGACAACATTTCCGGCTGATATCGAGCTATTAAGTAGAGGACTAGCAGTTATCTCTAAAGCATAAATCTCAGCTTCGAAAACGTTTGGTAGACGAAAATGCTGACTAACTAATCTACATGTCCTCCGAGTATTTAGAGAATGGCGTCTAAAAATTTGTGTCCAATTTTTAAACAACGCAAAAACTATTTCAAGCTTTTTTATGTCTAGAAATGCCAACAACTAAGCATCCTTTTTTGAACTTGATAAAAATTTATATTTAAAATGTTCAAAAATACATATATCGAACCCTAATCGCCGAAAAGGCGTAAGCGAAATTTTTTCAAAATTTTGTTTTTGATGCAGAAATGTTCCTGGAGCATCTAGAAGCATTTCTGCATCTAAAATAAATATTTGAAAAAAATTTCGCTTGTTTTTAAATTACCACGAGTTCTTGAATGACCTAAAAAATTTATGTTCAGTTTTAAAGCGACCAAAAATTTACATGCATACATAAGACATTCCATTTTAAAATACCTTTAACATATTTTCGTTTTTAGTTTTTAATGTTCAAAAACGTATGTCCTGTTTTAAGCTATATGAACTTTTGCCATGTTTTTATGTGACCAGAAATATGTGTCCAATTTGTAAATGATCATAAATTTTTTCTCGTTTTTTACCTGGCCAAAATGTATGTCCAGTTTTAAAATGATATCACATTTTTTCTCAAATTTAGATAGATTTCCAAAATTGATGTCCAGTTTTAGTGAGAAAAAAAATTATGTTCAGCATATAAATGACCAAAAATTTATGTTCACTTTTAAAAATCACCAACAGTTTATGTCCCGTTTCAAAATTACCAAAAAGCTTTCCTGTTTCTAAAAAATGGCCAATACTAAAAAAATATGTCCAGTTTTAAAATAGCCAATTATTTATGTCCAATTTTAATATGCTACGTTAAGTACATATTCTGTACCTATATATATATCAATTTTATGTCTAGTTTTTTGAATTACCAAAATTTACGAATATCTATGTCCAGTTAATTGTAAACCGCCATCAAATTTTTTCATTTTTTATTTGGCCAAAAATTTCAGCCAACTTTTAAAATTACAACAAAACTTTTCTCGACGAAAAGTTTATCTTCAAAACACAAATGACCAAACATTTATTTTAATTTTTTAAATCACCAAAAATTGGTATCCAGTTTCAAAATGGCCAAAAATTTGTTTATTTTTTAAACTAATACCATTAATAAAAAAAACGAAAACAAAGATGTCCAATTTTAAAATAACCAATTACTCATGTCGAGTTTTAAAATTCTACGCTCCATATTTAAACGATTTAAAATTTATGAAAGAAATATTTTTTTTTTACCGAAAATTACGAAAAATTCATGTCCATCTAATTGCTTTCTATTTCGTCCTTTTCAGGTGACCCTTTTTAATGGAAATAATGTTAAAGCTGCTGGTGGTACTTACAACATCAACATGCTTATTTTCGACTGTTAATTCCGGAGTACCAATCGGTTGGTATTACAAAACCCATTTTTAAGAAATCATTCTAGTATCCATCATCTACCTTATTTTAATCAATATCTTATCCCCTATCCCAGCTACTGGCGGTCCATCGCTAATCTACGAAGGTAAAGACGCGCTGCTCACATGTGTTGTATCAGAGAACCGAGCCAATCACACAGTGATATGGAAGAAATCCGACGAAATACTCACAGCCGGTATGGTGAGAGTGACGAGCGACACACGCATCAGCGTGTTGCATGATGAGAGTGAGTGGAAAAGGGGTACATACTACTTATTAAGTGTGTTTGCTTGTGATACTTATAATATTATACACGCATCTTTCGTTTAGATCCCAAAGGTCTTGAGTCTGGTGGGGAGGTATGGGTGTTGCTTGTCAAGCGACTTACCACCGAGGACTCGGGCAGTTATATTTGCGAGCTAAATTCAGAACCGGTCTTGCGTAGTATACACATACTAAACGGTGAGAAAGGGGGAGAGAATAGTTACACCCCGAGAGTCTAAGGATACCTTGCTGGTATCTGTATTGTGCATTTTTTATTTACTTCATTCTCTTTCTTATTTTTTATTCATACCCAGTCAAGCAGGTACCCTCTAATGGCGGCAACATCACTACCACAACAGAGTCGAGTGATGTGTACCTCGTGCCGCCACCGTTCGATGCCACCGACAATCGCTCGTTTTGGCGCGCGCACACAGTCGCGCCACAGATCACCCACGACTTCACTGAGTGCTGTGAGCGCGCCAATATCAGCGCCGAATGCATGGGCTTCTGCAATGTGCACAACATCATAGACGGCACGACAGGCATCGAGCCGGAGGCCTGTGAGAAGGACTTCCCTAACATCGTACGCTGCATGGCCGATGGTCGCAATCACGTGCCTTGCTGTGTAGATAAACAAATACCTGATCTGTGTCAAGATATGTGTCGCGGTGAGTATACACCTTTCACGGATTTGCTGAAGACGCGCGTCTCCTGTGTGCACCACACGCTAAGCGGCCTTCAGTGCATACTACAGGGTGTGCAGAATATACCCAGCACACCAACGGGCGTCACAGTCGATCATGTCTCAGAGACGCGTGTCACCGTGCATTGGTACGAACCGGAAAAGTTGGCGCATAAGGTTAAATTTTACAGTGTCAATCTAACAGCGCTGCATAGCTTCGATGAGGACGAAGTGTCCAATGTGTATGCATGGAAGAAGCGCCCAATCGAACAGACTATCATACGCACCGTGCCCGTGAATCTGACCTCACTCAGCTTGCAGGATCTCACGCCGCTCACAATGTACGCAATCGTGGTGACGGCGCACAACGAATATGGCTCGAGTTTGCCCAGCGAACGTTTGCGTGTTTTCACGCACACAAGTGAGATACTCACACCCATGCCTAGTGATGATGCAGAAGCATCGGCTTCGGTGGAATCTGTCATGCCAGACTTACCCAATATACGCAGTTGTTGTGAGACAAATGGCATGACGCATCGGATGTGTCTGGATAAAATGTGCGATCCACAGAAGACCGATCTCGCTACGCTACCCGACTTTATGGTTTGCGCGCCTTGGTCCAACATCACTTTCACTTGTCTGGCCAATAAGATGGATCACACACCCTGTTGTCGAGCGCGTGGCATACCGGCGGTCTGCTTTCCGCTTTGCTCGGGCAAGATCTCAACGTTGGACTTTAGTCTTTTCAAGTAAGTGAGCGCTGGGGACATTCTGGGCTACGTACTAGAGTAAAATGTTTTCATTTGCCCGTTCTAGGTGCCTGCGGTTCATGTCCGAGTACAGCAGCTGTCTGTTCCAGGGTTACGGCGTGCTGGCAGATCCACCTTCGATAATACGCACGGTAGCTAAGGCGGATAGTTTCATCATTTTAGACTGGAACAAACCAAACCGGTTGGCTGAAACTATAAGTACCTACCATGTGAAGTTTAGGCGGCTGGGAGAAGGCGACGACTATCTGACAGTAGTGAAGGTAAGTAATTCTGGATGACACATCGATAGAAAGCAGTTTAACACCAAAGGTTCGTAGCTGTTAAAATGAAAATTAGAACATAGAAATGCCATAACAACGGGCCCGCCTTAAACCATGCCAAGGTAAAATACTTCCACCGAACGTTTGATAAGAGGCGGTCGTCAGAACCAGGCTTTGATAAAAGAATGAACAACACATCAATTGGCTTGTGTTTCAGTAGGGGATCGATCTAATGATAAGAAAGGAGGTCTCTGGAGGAAAATAATTGTCTGGCCCTATCACATCATACTTTTTGAGGTCTCTTCTGANTAATGATAAGAAAGGAGGTCTCTGGAGCAAAATAATTGTCTGGCCCTATCACATCATACTTTTTGAGGTCTCTTCTGATGGAGTTAGCTAGAGAGAGCTACGCTAGTTAGGCAGGTAGACTGCGTGCAATGGGCCACCCTTATAAGAATTAGTGTAGTACTGTGCGCGACAGCAGGTCTGAAATCAGCCTCAAGGACTTCGGATCCTTGAAAAGTTCATAATCTGGGCAGTCCAAATTCTTTAAGCTTTCGTCCCTGCACACGCACATACCTTACTGCATCTCTGCGCTATTCGCTGCTATGAACTTATGTTTAGGCTACTCTGCGGTAGGTAGTGAGGTTAGCATTATCTACTCTGATAATCAAGTGGAAATTAGGTCTCCGAGTTCACATGGTGATGACGCGGCACACTACATGGCTGCCGAATTGACTATGCGTGCATAAGCCAAGGCTTCGGGAGGAGGGATATTGAAGTACATTCTCTCGCACTTCATGAGCGACCCACAGGAACTTTTTGGCTGGCTGGTGGCGTTGCATAGATTGAGCGGTGATTACCATTGAAAGTAATGTGATATTATGAGTGTGTTTTAACCAGGGACGACTACTGCAACCTAAACTAATCGACTAACAGGGAAATTCTGGCAACTGTCTATCAGCCTATCACAGACTTTTGAAAGACAAAAGTTATGGTGTTCGCTTTTAGCAATTAAGTTTTTTTTTTAAATACTACTAAATTTTTAAAGAATATACTTATATTCCTATGTCCTTTTAAAACCATAATAAATAAAAGAAAAATGAATCCAAAAAAATATAAAACTAAAACAAAAAAAGCGAAAACATATACAAATATTTTTAAAAATTTAATCAAATTAAAAAAGTATTTTTTTCTTAAAAAAATGAAGTGTAAAAATTTATTTTGAAACAGAAACAAATTAAATCAAAAAAGAAGAAAATAATACTTAATAAAAAAAATATATATAAAAAAAATTCTTAAAAAGAAATCTAAAATTTAAAAGAAAGTTAAGATACAAATAAAGACAAAAAAAAATTAAAGTAAAGAATAGGATCCTAAAAATTAAATGAGATAAAAAAATATTTTTTTTTTCAAATAATAAAATCTGAAAATTCAAAAAATTAAATTAACACAAGCAATTTTTAAGCAAAAAACCAAACCGACTTCAATTCTCATATAAAAATTTAAGATAATCGTTAATTTCTTCACGGTCCAATTATCGTTCATTTCTTCACGATCCAATTATCGGATATAAACAAAGTTACTATGCCACCACCCTTGAGGTACCGCCTTTCCGATGAATTATCGAAATCGGTTAACGTGGTCCAAAGTTGTGCGGTAACAGACATAAAAAAAATATTCCGAAAGAATATTCTTCCTTTTTTGAATTCGGTTAAAAAGAAAAACAAATTAAATTTTCAAAAAGAAAAAATAAATAAAATAAGTTTCTACAAATTGAATGAAATTAAAAAGATATTTGACTTCTTTAAATAATAAAATTTAAAAATTTAAAGAAAATTAAACAAAGAAATAAAATAAATTTACTTGAATTAGAAAAAATATAATAGGCATTTTTGCACAATAACTTTAAAAAAGTAAAAGAAAATCAACTATTTAAGAAAAGAAANCTAAATAATAAAATTTAAAAATTTAAAGAAAATTAAACAAAGAAATAAAATAAATTTACTTGAATTAGAAAAAATATAATAGGCATTTTTTCACAATAACTTTAAAAAAGTAAAAGAAAATCAACTATTTAAGAAAAGAAAAAACTAAATTAAAAGTATGCATAAAATATGTTTCTATAGTACAAATTAAACGAAATAAAAAAATATATAAACAAGAAAATCTAAAAATTAAAAGAAAATTAAATTAAAAAAGGAAAAAACTAAAAAAAAACCGCTGTCCGATGATTCAAACTCGGATCTCTTTGCTCGCTCGGTCATTGCGACTCTGGAAGTGATAATGATATACAAGGGCTGTTTTCTAAAACTTTTGTGCTAATTTGTCTTACCAAAATAACTGTAAATAACTGACTAAAGATAGTCCAAAAAAGTAATTAAATTAGGGTCAAGCAATTATATTTTCCAGCATAAATAAAAGACAAAATAAACACACTGAAAGGAACTGCTTTCTGAGCTCAGCATTCACTTTTTATGTACTATAAATAATTTCCGTAATGCAGTAACAATAAATGTCCATCACATTTTCAGAAAAACCCACCACTCATACTGGAAGGTCTCGAACCCGAAGTCTATTACGAATTCTATGTAGTCTCAGTGAACCAATATGGTAAGAGTGAACCTTCGCCACGGCTCATCACACGCACGCAGCCCGCTGAAGCGGTGGATGAGCCAGAACAGCGCTACAATATGACAAAATGCTGTCAGGCTTCCGGTCTGTTACCACAATGCGCGCCACTCTGCTCGTACAATATAAAATTGTCGGATATTGAAAAACTCGGACCGGCGTGTAGAGCGCAAATGCGTAAGTATTCAAGGAGATAAAATAAAAATTGTCATAAATAATTCAGTTGTAACCAATTTCTAAACGCTTTTCTCTTCCCCCTTTTCGCATAGCTGTCATTGTACGCTGTGCCGCCGGCGGACGCGACCATACGCCCTGCTGTCAGCGTCGCGGCGTACCCACTGCTTGCATGTCCATCTGTCGCGGCGTCATGCCGCTTGCCGCCAATGGTGGTGGCAGCAATAGTGGCGCCTTGAGTGGCAGCAGTTATAGCGGCAACAACGGTACGACCTCCAGTGATTGTTTATCTTATGCGGGCAATATCTTGCAGTGCATCGAAGAGGGTGAGTAATGCCATGCTTGGTTGGTTCGACGACGCAAGGGCTGACTGTTTGCACATAGGTACTTACATTGTTGATTTCAATTTGTTGACATAAATATATACACTGGCGGCAAAAGTAATATACTCGCCTTACTTTGCACAGTTTTGGCTATATTTCCATGGTTTATTTTATGTTTAATATTTTTGTATAAAAGTCTGGCTAGTTATACAACAAACCCCCCTTTCCCCAAATTTCAAATCCCCTTTTCAAACTTTATATAAAAATTATGAAAATTCGACCAAATTTTTAAACTTTTTATAAATTTTTTTTTGCAGTTTTGTAGCCCATTCAACTTTAATATAATAAGGTGCAAGTTTTAGGTGGCTCGAAAAAAAGTTGATTTTTGAAAATTTTTTGTTGACGATGCTAGGCATTCTCTTCCATATAAAAAAATTGTCGAGCACACTTTGTTTGGGAAAAAAAGCAGAACACCGTCAGCAAAAAAATATAAATTCTTAAAAACCAACGGTATTTTGCAGCCAATTGAAATTTGAACTTTACTACACTAAAATTCAAAATTTTGAAAATTGAAAAAATTGTCTAAAAATTGTGAATAAAAAGTTTGAGAAATTGGATAAAATTTGTCGAATTTTTATAATTTTAGTTCAAACTTTGAAAAGCTGATTTATGTATATGATGTTTGTGGTACAACTACCTAGGCTCAAAAAAAAAATAATAAACATAAAATAAACTAAATAAATATAGCCAAAATTCTTAAAAGTGCGACGAGTCTTTTATTTCTGCCGCCAGAGTAGTTATTTGCTGTTATTGTTTGTCTACTGCTGCTGTTGTTATTAAAGTTGTTACTTAACACTTGCTCTCATAAAAAAGCTATTGCTGCTGCTACTGTTGTTAGTGTTATTTCTGGTTGTTTATTTGCACACACTTGTTGCTTTTATTAGCGCATTGGCCATGACGAAGGAAGATGCACTCGGCTGACACTGTTCACTGGTGCTCGCTTGCCGTTGTCATTGTTGTCGTTGTTGTTTTATTTCATTCATTATTGCGTTAACCGGTATTATTGTACGTCGTCATACAGCGTTCAATCATGCGTTGCTACTCAAGCAAACAACCTTGCACTGTGCCATTGGCGAAGATAGCAATGACAACAAAAATAGCAGCAACACTAGCAATGCATATTATTACTTGCAACAATATTAGCTTGCTGCCAACAATGTTTGGATGAGTGGCAGCGGCTACAGTAGCAGCAACCTTCCTTTGTATTTGCCAATTAAGCAGCAATTAAAGCCAGTTTGATTGAGCTGCATACTCACATGCTTGCACTAATTCGAGAATAAATTCACTTAGGCGCACAAGGACAAGCCAACAGGCGTACGAACAAATATTTACCTATGCTCTTGACTTATATGTACGTATGTATATAAGGTTGGTCCTTAAAATATTTGCACCATTCCTTTATTTTGTACGTAGAACTGGGAATATTTCAAAATTAAAAACAAAAAAAATTCCAAAATGGAATCGCAACCAGGATGTGAAAAAATCCAATTTTTTAAGGAATTTATATGAATAACTTTCAATGTGCTAAATTATAACTGTTGAAGTAGCCTTTTTTCCAATTGTTGCGATTTAAGCAAAAATTAATTTTTTCAAACCCTGGTAGCGACCGCTAAATTTTTTTATAAATTTTGAAAATTTCGTGAATATTTTACGTTGTATCTAGAACAAAATAAGGGAGTGCCCCATACAAAATTTGATATTTTTAAGGACCATCCTGGTGTGTATTGCTTGTCTTAAATAGTATTCGTATATGTACATATGTGTGCGCATTTTCAGTAGTGTTTGTGAAAATATTGGTGTTTATATGAAAGTGATTGAGCATAAGCATTGGTAAACATAATTTAATTAGCATTTAATAACTTAGTATTGGCTTTGTTGTGAGCATTGGTATGCACATTAATTATTTTTATTCGTGTTTGCATTCGATTTCTTATTCGCATTCGATTTCGATTTCGTATTGGTATTCGTTTGCATTTTCGTACTGGTATCCATAGATGAACTCGTTTCCGTATTCATAATTGTATTTGTATTCGTATCCGCATTCGTCTTCGCATTCGCATTTCGTATTAGTATTTTTTTCTGTTTTCGTATTATTTTTCGTATTCGCGTTTGTTTTCGTCTTCGCCTTCTTACTCTCACTCGTATTTCTATTCGAATATGTTTTCATATTCGTACTCGTACTCATTTTGGTATTCCAAATGATATTTGTACTTATATTTATACTCATATTCATAGATATATATACTCACATTTATACTCGCATTCATATCCCTAATGAAATCCATACTCATATTTATATTCATATTCATATTCAGATTTATATTTATATTCATATTCCTACTCATATTCATGCTCGCAATTACATTCATATTCGTGTTCATATTTATACTCATATTCATAGTATCTTCATATTGATATTTATATTAAAATTCATAGTCATATTTATATTCATATTCACATTCATATTCATATTCATATTCATATTCCTATTCATATTTATATTTATATTCATATTCAAATTCGTATTCATATTCATATCCATACTCATACTCGTATTCCAATTCACATGTATGTACATATGTGCAAACATTCGTGAATGCTTTCGGACTCGATTTCATACTGGCATTCGTATTGGTATCCTAATTTAATTTTATATCTTTGAAGTATCTATACCCCTTATCATTAAGCTTAACACTCGAATTTACCCGCTTTTTCTCTTTCTATTTCCTCATTTCCTCTCATAATTTACCACAGGCACCGAAAGCATACCCGGCCCTGCTGAAGATGTCCACGCCACGGCAGTAACAAACACAACCATCAATCTAACCTGGCGGCAACCAGGCTACGAGGCAAGCGCTTCTACATCCACCGCACCCGCAGCCGCATCATCACCAGCACCAGTCAATGAAGAAGATTCCTATAGCAGCGCGAATAATGGCGACAGCAGCAAATCCTCCACCACTAATGACATTGCCACGGCCAGCGATGCGTCCACTGCTGCTGCTACCACAGCTGATGATGATATCGATTTTATCGTGCAATATGGCAAAGTCAATAACATGACCCTCTATGAGACGGTGGCAAAACTGGAAAATGTGAGTATCATTCAAACTACCGACCGACTATTAAGTACATACATATATTCGTGCTATGTCCGTTGACTTTCAATTCACTTGCAACTGGCAATTTTCATTGAGTAAGTTGGCTATGCTGGTAATGATGCCCATACATATGTACATTAGAGTGGTTCAAAAAAAAAACATTCCGAAAGCGGTACTGGTACCAAACCTTACGTTTCTAAGTACAAATTTAGAGGATGCTCATGATGCTCATATTTTACTCTAGAAATATTGCGTACATATATGTATTAATCAAACAATTGGTTAAGTACCTAAGAACATTTCAAATTTAAATTATCTAAAGACTATCACAAGCTTCAGTTGTCATGGCAACAGTACCTTTTTATAAAAATCCACAATATCTTTGCCAGTTTCACTGCGATCCAGTCTTTCAAGGTCATTAAGCACCCTGTATTGGTTGCAGTAGAATACTCACAGTTGGTATAGATATTACAAATAATAAAAGGAAAAAACCTAAAGGTGTGTAGCGTTTTCTAGGATGAAATTTTTTTCCCCCATACAAAAATTGGACCACTTTAATGTATAATATATGTAAAAGTGAATGCACTATTGGCTCTTAGCATATCTGGCCATTTGCAGCAGCTGGTCCTCAGACGTCAGCTCAGTTGTGGCGATACTTCAGTTATTAGCGTTTCTTGTCTTTTTTTGGACTCCATGCAAATTACTCGCTGCCACTAGTACCAGCTGATTTGATCGGTTAGGGCAAGGGGAGCTTACATTCTTGTAGTTTGACTTTTTAAACTTTTGGCTTCTGCTGCTTGTAGTTGCTCATAATGTAAGCCTCCTTTCGCTACTTCTCGTATGCTTGTCGGGGGCCAACTGGTTTTGATTCGATTTTGTTTGCTGGGGTTAATTGTGTACAGAAATAGAATTTCGAAGAATTTGAATTGGAAAACTTGGCTAATTAGGTTATTTGTATTGCATTCAATGGGAATTGTAGAGTGGCTAAAGTGAAATCAATTAAGTTTGATTACTTTTTTTGCCAAAAAAAAGGGCGTCCAAGGTGACTGAGGACTATTATGCGAGCTTAGTTCCATATACGTATTTAAATATGCGCTTACCTCTCTGCTTGTATAGCTACTCAGATACTAAGTATTTTCCATACCACTTGAAACTACTTCCATTCATCTTAGACTAGCTGCATTTTTTATAAAAGGGATATTACTGGCGGCTTGACTAGGAAGCGCACTAAGAGGAGCGCAGATACTTTCACCGTACCAAAACTACAATTAACGTTGAAAAGACTGTCATCGCCAACCATTTTTTTGTTATATTAAGGTCTTTTATACCCCAGGAAGATAACATAACCTTTCAAAGGATTTGGTTTGTTTTATTTAAACCGAGGGCCCTGCGAAAGCATCGCAGTCCGTAGAGTTTTCTCCGATGGGTTCTAATTGAATCTAGCTATGGTTTAGCAAACGGTTTATAAGAGTAGCAATTCACTCAACGGCACAAAGGGCATTAGAGGTACTTCTGGACGACGAAGCTGGTAGACCTACTTCCACCAAAACTCGTCTTCATTGTGAAAAGCCAAGCTGGGTAAGTGGCGACAAGCTTGAAGTGTGTTCAAGAATACCAAATAACCCTACAATCGCTTCGACAGTATATACAGGGCCGGATTAACCATGTCGGGGCCCCTAAGCAATGCAATTTTCGGTACCGCAAAAAAAACTTTTTAAACATATATGTATACAATAATTAGGCTATTTTTTCGAGTCATCATTCATATGTTCTTGTACAATGAAACAAACAAAAGGAAAGTAATGCAAAACTCAATTTAAATGATTTCTCGGTAGGTACAATTTTATCTTTCCCCTTGAACCATTTCGTCCATAAACTCAGGGTCCTCTGATCGACCTTCTTTTGCGCAAGCTTCTTTCGTATCATCGTTGGATTTCGTCAAGATATCTACTAGAAATCTAGACAGATAATTAATGTTGCGATAAGCTTTAAGTCACCGCGACAATTCTATACACAGCTTGTCCAGTATAAGTAAATAAGTCCAATTTTGAATTTCTCTTTTCCTCTAAGCACAACGTCTTCTTCTGCAGATTCGTCATCGTGATGCCCTTTTCCTTTCTCGCATACGTTGATTTTCAAAACTATGTTGGGCATCACTTTTCTCATTTGCCTTCATCTCGTTATCGTCAAATAATCATCGCTTTGAAAGCACAACTTCAAAAAGCGATTTGAAAAGATCGACTACCCAGTTACCTTAAAGAACGACTTCCATTATCTAGGTCTTCCCGAGCACATTCCTAACTTCTTGCCATCAGTTTTTTGTATTCTCAGTACGTCTTTTCAACAGATTACCACATGCGATTAGAAATACATTTTAAATAGATGTGTGATTTGAAAATGAATTTTGGAAGCTAAGCTTCTTAAATAGCCTACTTGGAATTGGACCTGAGGATACAAATCTTCACATTAAATTTTCACTCGTTGAAACATTTAGAAATTTTCTTCTCCCTTCTCGGGCTGCTATCTGTTGCGGAATAAAAAGGAAAAAAGATTGGGGACCAAATTTCTTGGTATAGCAGAATTTTGGAGGCAACAGTCGTACATATATTTCAAGGGCACATTTTACAGTTGAATAGATGTATTAGTGGTATCTAATGTGACGGTTAGCGCTGTCGTGGCACTCTTTTATATGAGTCAAGTGTGGGTTAAATATTATTCTCTTATAGGAAATGTAACGATTTCGCACACTTATGAAAATATCTCTCGCGCTTCGATGTTTATACAGAGTGCACCATACATGACCACATAATATAGCAATAATATTATCATCAAACATCAATTCCAGGCAGCCGTTGCCGTTACCGATGCCATTTAGCTAAATTGTTGGCAAAACACAAACGCATAAATGGGTTTACAGCAGCACTGGGCGGTGCCTGCCCGGCGGGCATATTCGCGTATACATATACGCTCTGCTTTAGAAGGCAGCGAAAGCTTTATTCAACCCCTGTGGGGAAAATCTCTAGTTCTGAACTGGGGCGCTTTTAGTACATTTAGACCCTGTACTGGTTCGCGATAAATCTCTTTTGCATGCAAGCAACTGGCGAATTTAACATGGCGATGTCCTAGGAAGTATCAATTGCCCCCCGCTGCATCCCTTTTTCGATAGTTCCGAACTTGTCCTAAATTCTATAGTTCCGAACCAGTTCTGAAATCGACAGACGAAAGAAAAAAGTATCATGATTTTTCAATCTCTTCGGTTCTTCCGTGTGCGATTTTACATTATTTTCAAAGAAACATTTTTTCAATTTGAAATTAAATTTGTTGAAATATACGTTTACATACCTTGCTGTAGCTAACTTTGCAGGGGTGCTCGCTGTTATTGGTTAGATTCCATACGGCCCCAAGATGTTAATATGTTAACACAAAGCTTTGTTTTGTATTACCAAACTATGAAATAGCATCTGCGAAGCACAGAATAGAATCGTATTTGAATGAAAAAGCCGCCGAACACATGTCTATGTAAAGTAAACAAGGCCCCCGCTGCATCCCTTTGTCGATAGTTCCGAAATAGTTCTAAATTCGACAAATAGGATCTAGTTCGTTCTGCATCCCTTTTTCTATAGTTCCGAACCATTTCTAAATTCGTCACTTTAGATATAGATTTGTAGTGAAAAAAGTTGAAAAAAATTAGTTTCTTAAAAGTACCACTTTTCGCCCATTTTGGACTGGTGGGGATCTAGTTCCTATCAGACTAGTTCCTTTTTGGCGATAAAGACCTAGTACGGAACTAGAAATTTGATTCACCAGTCCGCGGTTTCCCTGGAGGGTATGCATTTGTTAGGGCATGCTTGCATCTACATACATACATACATACATACATATATGTAGAGAACACATCCTGGAAGTACACACGAATATACAACCCATAACTGCGTGCTATTTTTTATTTTTAGGTACACAGTTACATACAAACGTATATATGTATGTAGATATGTATATTATACTGTGTCAGCAAAAAAATAAAAAATCGCTGTACATCTACGTATCCAAAGCACCGTGGCAAGGCATTCTCGACCCCTACGTTTTTACATTTTCATAATAGCTTCGGCATGTATAGTCGGATCTGAAAGCATGATTTATCGGTGTTTTTGTCTCGATCAGAATTTTTTTTATTCTAAAGTGAGGTAACTCAAGTACTTGCCCACCATATCTCAATTCTTATCACCCTAATGTCAGTCAATCAAAACTCGCCAAAAATCACTAAAGTTTTGCTAAGGAAGTACTTTGTTTTAAAGGCAATTTAAATTTTTTTTGGCTGAAAGTAGCGTGGCCTTTTAACATTTTCATTCCTATATTCGGCATATATGTGCAGTCGGATCTCAAAGTATGGTATATCGATGTTTTGCCCCGAAGTTAGCCTCTTTTTGTTCTAAAGTTCATTGACCTCAAGTACCCTTTCCTAGTATATATCCACCAGATCTCTGTTCTTATCACCTCAACGTACCGCCCTAATGCCAGTAAATAAAATTTCACCAAAAAGCATTGACGAAGTATTTCGAGTATTTCAGTGGAACTATTTATTTATATAAAAATTTTATTGCCGAAAGTAGGTGTCACAGAAAAATTAAAAAAAGGCGACCCTAAGGTTTGGCTAAACAAATTTTTTTGCTTATGAGCGGTCTAATGTACACAAAATATATAAAATACGTACATAAATATATATGTGCATATATCGACGCGCTTATATATGTAATGCAACACAAAACACTGACACTACGCTACGTTATAGTTGTTGTTGTTATTAGTTTAAAACATTTTGTCATTGTTTTTGTTGCTGCCACTGTTATGCTCCCACTAACTGCTTAGACGTGCTGTAATATTCATTTTATTTTCATGTGTGTACATTTGAAAATGTAAGCGTTTGTAATGGCGTTCCGACGAATTTCAGATGCTTAATATTCCCGCCCATATTATAGCTGCAAAACATATTACAT